TACCAAGTGAGATAACGTGCATTCTGTTCGGGGTGTCACTAGGGATCATCACTGATCCTTCTGACCTTTAAATCTGGAATAAAATAAATCTGGAAACCTTATCTGTCTCGACACTGTAGCCATTTCAGACTGAGGTTTCTAGAAGGTTTAAGTTAAATATTCCTATGGTTATTATGATAGGGTCTAGAGTTCATATTTCTCCACTTAGTTGTCTCATAGTCTCCTAATCTGTATTGAGTCTCTCAGTTTCATTCCGGGATCGAGTCCTGAGGCTCCATATATACATTAAGGCAGAGCCTGTATTTATGGTGTGTCTTATACAGTACATACTAATCATGCCACCAGTGCTTGGGTAATTGTGGTAAAGTTGCAAAATATAATTGAACTGCTATTAAAATGCATACAGCTGTCACTAGTGCAGGTAGCTTATGAGCTTCTGTCTGCCTTGTAAAACAGAGTACAAGAATTATGTTATTATTTTATTAGTCACACTCTGCTCTGAAAATCATTCCCCTTAATTAATTTTTCATTATAGCTATGATAAATGGAATAATTTTTAGTCAAGAGTTGGACTTGTTTAAACCAAACATCCAAATTCCAAATTAGCTTATTCACAGACACAAGCCATGCCTGCTCTTTGTGCTTACTCCAGTGTGCTGCTGTGCTGTCTGTGGAACAGATGACTCCTGTGTCCAGGCTGAGAGGAGAATGGTATATCCTGGAAGATGAGGAGTGGAACTAAAAATAAAGGAGCTAGTGTCACTGGAACCCAAAACATTCTCAGATCCCATCTTATCTCTTGTTGCAAGTCAGGCACACACAGAGAGCTACTCATGTGGTCCCTCTGAACGTCTCAGTCAGCTGCAGGAGCAGCCAGCTTCTACTCCTGGTACTGTGGTGGTAGAGGGAAGGGTTCCAGCCATCCCTGGAGACTGCACATTGGCACCTGACTGAGAAAATCTTGCAGGACCAAACTAACTCCATGCAGAGCCAGTGAGAGGGACAACTACATAAGTTAGCTAGTTTATATCGATTCAGTAAACCAGTTTGGGCTGATGGGGACTTGACTAGAAATTTTGGGGTGGCTGGTTCAGGTAGGGCACTTCCACTTGCATCCCCATGTCGTCCAACTCTTCTAAGAACAAATGAAACTTCTGGCGATTCTGACATGCTATGTACTTACATGATGGTGTGTACAATTAATAGATAAAAAAATTAAAGAGATGTGCAATTGGAAAGAAACATAACTGAAAATAGTAGCTGAAGGTACTCTTTCAGCCTAGCATGCCAAGAGTTCAGTCCATGTATGTGTTCCTTTTCTATTAAAAATAAAAAAAATTTAAAGTAATTTTGAAATGTCTTTCTCAGCCCCTAAAAATGCTTATTTTAGAAAAAAGTCAAATATTTATTGTAGAAGGTTTAAATATTATGTCTTCAAATCTCTTTATATGTATCTACTGGTTTTGACTTGGGATTGAGTGTATTTTCTTGACAGTAGCTGCTATAGGGCTGTGGTGTGGATTTGCTGGCACACAGGGACAGTAGTCGGGCTCCAGGGTTAGCACAGGTGGGGCCAGCTCACTACTCCGATGTAGTGTGCAGGTGTAATTCTTTAGACTTAACTTCTGTGCTCACAGCATAGGGCTATTGAGCTGCTGTCCTCTGGGTGAGAGAGGCCAGCCACTGTCTCTGATAGTCAGCAAGACAGAGGTCTGCATCTCTTTCAAACAACAGAAGGTGTACCTAATATTTTCAGAAATATTTCTATTCACTTTAAAAAACAGACTTGTACTGTTACTCAGGTTAAAAAGGGACGTTTTGATTCCTGGCTAGTTTTGATTACTAAAGTAAGTCAGGAATGTGAGACCTTCCCCTCTGGGTGGGAGTGTTGCCACCATGATACCCCAGAGATTTCCTTTTCTTTTTTCCAGTGCTGCAGCTAAGTCATTACTGAGTGACTGGTGAGTATCATGTCAGTCTTGGTTCACTGTATTACCAGTACTGGAGTCTATAGAGAGATCTCAAATGCCCTGGGTGCAGCAGAAACTATAAAAAGACAGCAAGGCAACGAAAGGCATTTTTGGGCTTTCTCTTACAGAAATTTATTTTTACCTTGTTTTTGGAGACTAGTGCCATATTGATACATATCCTGCTCCATGAAGGCATTTTTCACAGTGCTTAGATTCATGCGTGAAATCATCTTTATCCATTTGGAGGAGCAGTTTGATCAATTACATAGGTAATCCCTCCTTGTTGGGAACTGAGAAGGCTTGGCAACACTTGGTCTGCAAGGCTTGCACAGACTTATCACTTATTCTGGGCCAGAATTTTATAGACAGCCAATTTCATGGTTCCTAATTTAATCACATCAGCATGTCTTAAACCTGTCTTAAGCTGTAGCTGTGTCGCTGTTGGGATGGACACGACACACATAGCAACACGTAGCAACAGGTAAAATAGCTTTTTTATTATCGCTGCGTGTTCTCTTTTATACATTCTTTAATACAGTGCATACTTCATTCATTGGTTAAAATAACACAGCTCATCATGGCCATTTGGTACAAAGCAGTATTAGCATCACTGTTTTTGGGCAGGCTTTTTACAAGAATTTTACAGATAATAGTCCTGTTTTTCTAACTGCAGGTGTCCAGTGATTATTTCTGTTCTCTAGGTTCCCATGTGAACCTTGTCTTCGTCTTCCCTTCATGGGTAAATATGAATTTTACCAATCTTTTCTGTCAGCTCATTCCTCTGGCTCACAGACCAGCTGTCAGCCCCTTCCACATAGCTGTTCTGAAATACTTTGCTGTTGATTAATATCTCAGACTGCTGCCCATGAGCAATATTAACACCTTTCTATGTGACAGTCACATTCAGTTCTAATCAGATTGTAAAAGTAAAATATCATATAAAATATGTGAGAACAGCTCTTTCCAGATTATTCAGAAACAGTCTGCCAAGTACTTTGAGGTTGTTCTGGTAAACACATAAAAATCATCCGTCCAAGATCTTCTGATAAATCACCACTACAAAAAGGAGGTAAACATTTTCCTATGCTCTTCTTGGTGCTAAAATACAGGAATTCAGTAGCAGGTCTATACTGCAGTGTGGCCCCTGTTACATGAATACTCAAGTGCCAGGTCAGGGGAAGTTCCCATTTATCAAGGAGCATGGATACAGGCTTTTGTAAAGATCTGTTTACAAGAGAAGGTACAGTTTGGCTAGGTGCATCCGTGCCATGTCTGGGTCAAGGTGTTCCAGTGATTTCTGACTGATGACATTGTGAGCAAGTACAGACTTGGGCGCAGACTGATGCAGAGAGACCTGCAGTACAGAACAGTCAGACGTCACATTTTCCATCCAATTTTGTGAGGCAGGCCTGTGTACATAAGCAAGCCTGTGTGTAACCATGGTATTGACATATGTAGAAGAGATTATATGATTTTGGTTGTATGGTCTAATTCCTTGCCAAGTTTCCAGTAGTTTAATCGTGATCTAATTTGAAATAATTAAATCCGTTATGGGTTTTTTTGTTTTGTTTAGAACATCTTTCTTGTCTGTAGGGCTATGAATATCATCACTGCAATCATTCCTAGAATAGTTTTTATAATATCTGTAAGTTTAAGTGATAACATTTACAAAACTCTCTTTAAACAAAAATCACCAAAGCAGATTGCTGACTTGTCATCCTGAACACTATCCCAATAGTTGTACCATAAGGTGGTGTAGAAACCGTGGGTTTAAGCTTGTACAGCTTTTATAAATCTGGCCTGTAAAGTTTAAATCCAGACCTGTATATAGAATTCAGTTTCTTAAATCCATGTTACATCTTCTACAATGTTGCTGATGAAGCTCCTAGATATAGAAATCTAGATCTGATTTGCTATTTCATCTTAAACCAATATGCAAATTGTACACAGGCAATATGGGGGAAAAGTGTGGGGTTGAGTGGAAATGCAGGGACATATGTTTTATATTTGGTTTAGTTTGTTAGAAAACATTACACTTTTGACTTCTGGTATATTAAAAAGATAATTGCATATGATCGAAATTTACAATTCAGACTTTATTCTGCCTTTCTTGTACAAATTTCTTGTGAGTTTTAGCACAATTAATAGGTAAAATACAAGAATTGTACTACTCAGTTTTCTAAAATAATTTCTTCAAATATCTTGAAATCTAAACAACAACAATGTAAATCTTTCTCATAAAAGGACATGTGCAGACATGCAAGCTTAGGATTCTCACTTGAAGCTAAAGGAACTCTCTAGCTTCAGCCGGTGAGAGCCCAGGTTTTGTTCATCATAGTTTTCTTGTATTCTTAAAATTGTATTTGTATTCAGTTTCATTTGAATATGTTTTTGATTTGTCCAAACAGCAGATGGCTGTTATAAAGCGTCTGTATTTAACTTGGCACTTTCCATTCCACATTCCTTTACTATTCATAGCACACCAGTCATAGTCATCTGAATACACATAAAAGGAGGCAGTTTGACTTGCAGATGCAGTTACCCTCAAATGTGTGAGTATTTACAAATCCATAGCATTATTTCTTTTTAATATTGAGTAGACCACATGCTAGATATAGAAGATGGATATTTTTTTCATCTCGCCACTCTTATGAAATGTGAGACACTGGAACAGAAACTAAAGCTGTGTCTGCAGTAAGGAACCCCTGTATTTAAAATTAGATTCATGTAGAGCCTGTGTTCCTATGGCGAAAGGGAGATTATCATTGGCAGAAAAATTTGCTCTTGTAGATTGAGTTGTGCAATTTCAGCCTAAATTGTCAAGCAACATGGACAATTAAATACTCATCTGATTAAATAACAAGTCTGCCTAAAATGTGTAAGAAAAAAGGCATTTGTGCAAGAGCAAGGTCTTTTTATTACTGTGGTTTCACAAAGAAGAATTTGGTGATTTTGTAAGCAAAATTTTTTTCTTCCATTGTTTTGTTAAACAAAGCCAATTTTCTAAAATGTCTTTAAAGGTTTTCTTTCAAATTACTTTGACAGAAAGTATGATTTCTATTTATTGTGTTTTCAAGCAAATAAAGTCAAGCAATTAAATTCTTTTTTCCTATAGTCTGAAACATGCAACACACTTGTAAACAGTAATTTCTTGAGAGTTTTTTGTATAGAAGCTTGAACTATGGAAATAGGAATTTTTCTCTTGATGGTGTCTTTCAGTTCATTTGCTTTTACAGAGAGAATAATTTAATCAAAAATTAGAAAACAGAATTTTTGGTATATAAATTTCCATTAGATTCACAACTTTTCCATTCCTTCTTTAATGCTTATGACTACGTATGACAAATGCTTATTCCTTAGAAATACAAGTCCTGCTACTTGACTCAAAACTGTGCTCTATTTTCAATATGTTATCAAATAGATTTTTTTTTCTCCTGCTGAGACTAGCTGAAGTTTACTACTGTTCAAACAGCCTGGGTTTTCAACCTGTCTGTAGCTGGAGGCAAGCAGTATAACATTTCACATCAAACAGTAAACTGAGAATACAGAAACATATATACAAAGAATTTACTTTTCTTTAATAAATGCAGCTACATGCTTATTACACCCTACAGCATTGCATGACTGATATTGTTACATTAAGAATGATTTTATCTCACCGATAACTATAGACATGATTCTAATTCTTTTCCACTGAGTTCTTCATTTCAACAACCAAAATGCCATCATGGCAGAAAAGTGCAGACAAGTCTTTGTTCTCCACTCCGTCAGGTAATTTGTATTGTCTGGTGAAGCTTCTGGATATGAAACCATGTTCGTCCATCCTGGGTCCGTGCTGAGCTTTAATCAGGAGCCAGCCTTCGAAAGTCTGGATAATGATATCTTCAGGGCGGAACTGCACAACGTCCAGCAAGACCCGAAAGTGTGTGTTTTCATCCTCCTGGCCACTCTTCCCGGCCCCAGTCGTGCTTTCTGTGGCACGCCTTTGGGTGCTCAGTGCAGTGGTGGAAGGGCCCGGCAAAGCATATAAAAGGTGGTTCAGTTTGTGTGCTTCCAGCTCTTGGTCAACAAACTGCTCCTGGTAGCGTGCAGGAGTTTCCACCCAGTGTCTTATGACAGCTTCTGCCATTGCTGAGGCAGAAAGATCAGCTGCTGCTCCTGCTGTGTCGGGAAGCTGCAGAGTCAGACTGAGCTCTTCCAGCCGTGTGTCTTACCCACAGGCCAGTCTATCAGTTGATGTTGCCTTTCACTTTTAGAACGGGCAGAGCTTAACATTTAATACAGCGTCCTGTGTTCCAGTGCTGTGAGACTTGTTTCATCTTTTATCCACTAACAATAGAGCACTATTTATAGTGCTGCAGTCTTGAGTGGCTTCAACACATGCACAGCTTTCATGCAGGAATTGTAAACGCAAAGTTTTAATGCACCTCTTGTTACTGCAAAATTGTGCTGTTTATAATTATGAATAATGATTACACAAATAATGTGAAAGGTTTTTTGTTTAAATGGAAGCTCAATACTTTTGTTTTTCCAAAGGATATATGGCACTAAGTACAAACTCTGTATTTCTTCTAATTGAAATGTGGAGCTAGTGAGGGAATTGGTTTAATTGCCTTGGCAGCTGGAATGGAGCAGATTTCAGGTTAGCTAAACTGTAAAGTTAGCAAGTGCATTGGACATTTTTGCAGAAGCTGTGAAATTTGGGTATGGTCACCCCAGGACACCATGTTATTGCTGGGAGGAGGAAACCGTCTCTGCCCAAAAAGGGGGAGCCTGAAGGGCTGCAATCTTAGTGACCTACAAATGCAGCAGAGATGTCTCCAGCATGTCAAGGAATCAGATACAAGAGTGCAGAGAGAGCTACAATGAAAGTTCGTGTTTCAGAGCTTCCAGGAGAGGGTAGTTATTTTCCTCCACCAGCATAGTAAAGACAATTATAGTCCTTAATGCTGTCCATTGTCCAAGTAATCTTCATCTTCTGTTGCTTAACAGAAGATTGAACCTGTGATCTCATCTACTTCATGTATCTGCAAAGCAGGACTGGTGACCTCTGAGACTGTCTGAGGTGTAATTATGGAATCACAAAATGTTTGGGAATGGAAGTGACCTCTGGAGATCCGGAGATCATCCAGACCAACCCCCCTGCTAAATCAGATTAGCCTAGAACAGGTTGCACAGGATCGCATCCAGGTGGTTTTCAAGTATCTCTAGAGAAGGAACTTCTACAACCTCTGGCTTGTCATCTTCTTGCTACTCTATGATTGCAGGGCAGATAATGCCTACAGAGGTCAATAGTTTGTTTAACAAGAGCTAAGAGAAAAGTGCAATAAAAAGAGAAAATAATTTCTAAATTTTAGTATGTTTGCTAGAAAATTGCTCTAGCTGAGCTTGGTAATGTAAAGCAGAATGTGTTATGGCAACTGATGGTGAAGATTTTTTTATTTGATTTGTTAGTACAGTAAGAGTTGCCCTAGTGCTAGAAATAATAATTTAAGATACTTTTATTCCTTCTATTGTTGTTTTGAGTTTGTCTCTCTCCTCTCCTTACATGTTCCATTACCATAGTTAATATGGGATCTTTGGTTGCTAATGAAGTAATGAAGAGAGAGGCAATTAAACTTCAATGTTTATCAGCTATTGACTTCTTTATTGCATTAATAGCAGGCCAGGATTTCCAGATTTATGTGTAATTAAAGCTTTAAGGCTGCCATTTTATTTTAAACTTAGAAAGGCTGCATTGGAAGGTAAAGAAATCTTCAAAAGTTCAAGATAACCTACGTTAATGGCCAACTGTTTAATCGAGTATTGTGATAGAGGAGTATTGTAAGGAGTAGGCTACTTGATTTTACTATTGGCTCTTCTCCTGTTAAACTGTCCTCCAGAAATAATTTAAAAATGCAATTTTGAATGCATGACTGACTAAAATAGTGATAAAACCAACCTGGAGTATTGCCTATTATTTGTTCAGCAGCTGTTTTCTCTTTTGCTAGCAAATTATTCACTTGATGAGGAAACTTTAACCCTAAAGTGAAGCAGTATGCCTGGCTGGTTGTGATATTATGCTTATACAGACTGCTGAAAGCTATTGATCTTCCTAATTAATTCTGTGATGATAGCATGACTTATTTTACTTCAGTTTTGCATTTCATTAATAAATGTACTGTATAGGAATATCACTTTTGAATTTTGTTTTATTTTTCCCATTATCTCAGGAAAAATATATACTTCCATACTTCAAATGAATACAGAAGTCACCATCTCACTGCAAGTCACTGTGGGACAGCTGTATCTATTCCCAGAAACAGCTGTGTTAGTCTTTCAAATGTCTCTGTTAAGCCTACTTGCAACTGTCTGGTTTCATTAGCACGAAAGATACTTTGAATACCCTTTAAATTCATGTTGTATGCTAAATGCTGCAGAAGGTTATTGGATCCCTTTCTACTCTGTAGGACAAGAAATCAGTAAGATTTTGATAATGAAGCCTATTTCATGGAGCCTGTTTCTGTTTTCCCATCCTGCCCTGTCCTCTGTTCAGTTCCTTCTCTCAGTTTGTCACCTGTGGGCTCATGAATTAACACAATGCTTCTTATCTCTGTTACTGACATGGGGAGTATGCCAAGTGGAACACACAAACACCCTTTTCGGCTTTCAAATTTAAACATAGGTGCATTGCTGCAACACTGAGGCGCTTCTGATGCTTATGGTGCCCTACTCTTCAAATACCTTTGGCAGGATTCGATCCAGCAATACATAACAATTGATTACCGTGGTCTTTTTAACCTTCAGAGCTGATCCGACAGAAGCAGGATCGATGTCCGAAATCACCAGCTCGGTGCTTCAGGGTTTTTTTCCCGATTTTACCATGCCTGCGAAGGGTAGGAGTCCGCCGGCTGCCCTGGGAAAGCGGTGCAGAGCTGTTCTTCCGAAGCAGCAGCCGGGTAGCTCGGCAGCCCCCGCCGGTGTTCCCGGTGCCCGTCTCCCCCGCGGGCTTTCCCGGACGGTCCGGGATGCGCGAGCACGGCCGGCCGGGAGCGCGCGGCGCCGGATCCGCGGGGCACAGCGACATCTGCTGGCCAGGCCGGGCAGCGGCGACAGCGCGGGGACAGCGCAGCACGGCCCGGCCGCGCACCTCTGCAAGGAAACGCAGGATAAAACTTATAACGTCTTTCACGCTGATATAACCTACTTTCTCAGTATTTTGGAAGAGAGTGGCGGAAAAAATATGTGATTCCCGTCCTGGGCTGCATCCAAAGCAGCGTGGCCTGGAGGTCGAGGGAGGGGATTCTGTCCCTCTGCCTGTAGTGCTGCATCCAGCTCTGAGCCCCTCAGCATGAAAAGGGCACAGAGCTGTTGGGGTGGGTCCAACAAGAGGAGGGTCAGCAAGATGATCACAGGGCTGGAGAACCTCTCCTGTAGAGACAGGCTGAGACAGTTGAGGAGTTGGGGTTTTTCACCCTGGAGAAGCTTCCAGGGACACCTTTTTGTGGCCTTCCAGTATGTAAAGAAGTCTTGCAAGATAGCCGGTGAGAAATTTTTGACAAGGACATGTAGTGGTAAGACAAGAGGGAGTGGCTTTGAACTATAAGAGAGTAGGTTTAGATTAGATATTTGAAAGGAATTCATTACTGTGTGGCTTGTGAAACCCTGAAACAGGTTGTCTGGAGAAGTTGTGGATGCCCCCATCCTTGGAAGTGTTCAAGGCATATTGGATGGGACTTTGAGCAATCTGATTAAGTGGGTGGCATCCCTGCCCATGGCAGGGCTGTTAGAACTAGATGATTTTTAATGTTTCTTTCAACCCAAACCTTTCTATGATTCTGTGATGCTATTAAATATATGAAGTAGGCATCCCGGTAAAGATGTATTTTAAACTGCAAAAATCAAAGGTGCAAAAAATCAGGAGAGTAACACATTTTTGATGCATTTCTTAAATAAATACAGGTTCATCCTGCTTGACACTACTTTAAAATAGTAGATTGCCCTGTCACAATTCTCTGTGCTTGATTCCCCAAAGAGAAATTTGTATTTCAACTACCATTGAAAGTCAGTAACTGCTGAAAGGGGGAAAGTGTGAAAAGGCTGGCAGGCTGACTTGAACAAGAACTCTTATAGAAGCTAACAGGCTAAATTCACATCAGGGCCATGTAATTATCCAAATGAATGTAGATGAAGCACTGTAGTTACTTTTACCAAAGCACCCAGGGGTGCTGCTCATGATCCACTTCACGTCATTCAAAAGAGATATTGTCAGACGTTGCAATACATATGAAATGAAAGAGCAAGTAGGACTTCCTGGGTTTTACCAGTGCTCTGTTATGCTCAATATGGTGGTACCAAAGAACTAGACAGTAAAACAAAATGTGTGTGACAATGTAACATGGGGTGATACATATGAAAACTCCATGGTAAAGAGCTACTTTCTACATGTAATTTAATATATTTGTTTAGAGTGAGAAAATTACCATCTCTTCCATTGCTTTGAATCCATTGCTCCTTAAAGCTATGAGCTCTTTTTAGCTGTATTGTTAGATCTGGATATGTGTAAGCACTGAAGAAATCAGTAATGTAACCTCAAGTCCTGCAAGTGCCTAATCAGCAGATACTAAGTGTTCTGTTTTCAATAAATATTGAGGATTTTTTTTTTTTTTAGTAGTGTCTCATTCCAATCACATGGTGTTTATATTGGTCAGTGAATCACAACATAACTCTTTCTGCAGCAAGACTTCTTGCTGTGTTATAAAAATTCTTGCAAGTAGTAAAGACTGTGTTGTTACATAGCCAGCTTTACTGAAGGGAGACTTCTGTTTGTGGGTCATGTCCTTCAAAACCTGGAAAAGGCTAGATCTGCTTAACCTCTTGGAAAATCTCTCCAGGGCACTGATGCTTTCTTGTAACTTATAGGCCTCTTAAGAAGTGGAAAACTAATCCTAGCTTCTGCACTAAGAATCAAGTGTTTGCTCATTTGTTAGGAAGTACTGTAAGAAATATAAGTAACCATGGAATGGACTATCATTTTGACACATTGCAACCACTATTACAAGATTGTTTTTTCTTAATATGTCGAGATGATAGAAGAGCAAATGAAGGATGAGGATGAAGCAGATGAAGGTTGATAGGACCACAGCAGCTGCTGCTGGAGCAACAGCTTTACAGAACAGTGAAGGAATGAAATACAAAAAGTTACTTTATAAATATAAAAGTTACTTTAAAGTGATGTCATGCACCTCTTTACACAAATTTGCTTTCTTACTCACATGACTTGTTTTAAAATATTTGTATGTATGCATCTGTGCCTCACAAATTCTTGAGGAATTCCTACAGAAAGCAAACTCTTTAGAGTGATAATCTGTTCAATTCTTGCAGCCAAAACAGTAGAGATG